TTTCTTAATTATTGCTGTTGCACACATATGCACACATGTATATGCACACATATGCATATGTACATAGGTGTGTTACATATAGTATATATAGCTGATCCTTCTCTCAATAGTCATTAGCTGCCTGAAGCTCTTCATCTACCAGCACGCCTTCTAAGATTTCCTTACCTGCATTGTCATGCTGGCTGCTGTTGACTTTCTTTACCTTGTCTTTAGTCAACCACATTGTTAAGAAAAGTCACATCCCACGCAGAAGTCAAGCTGTGAGAATGAACTTTCTGGAAAGAAAACCAAGGAAAGTGAAGGGTGTACTGGAGGCTGTCTACGATGAATAATAATGCCAACAGAGAAAGACGGACACGGGCAAGGTGATGTCTGATAAAATAATAACTTAACCATTCAGTAACTTTTCTTTCCATTCTTGCTTAAGCCACCAAAAACCTTTCTAAGAAGTTCTGATGGAAAAATTCTTGAAGGTTCTGCATGTGCTGCAGTGGGAGCTGCCTAGCCTTCGAATGTGTCGATTCTCTTCTCCCACAGACACCGACGATGTCTGAAACCACACACACACTGGTGAGGATATTGTTTCTACCATGGTGTCCCATTTTCTTGCACAGGCTGTGTCCCCAGCACCAGTGTTTACTCAGGAGAGACCATGACAGACCTATGGAGGACTTCCTTTATCTCCAAACTCACAAGGAGCCGGAATCATTTCTCTTCTTCCACGCAATTTTAGTCACCTTGGTATGTTTCATCGCACAATGCTTAGATGTCTGTTTATGTGTATAGCACCCTAAGATAATAAAAAAAGGAAGTACTCTTTGCTTATAGCCCAGTATGCAGCAGAATGTCCTGCAAACATTAGGCATCTCAGAAGACAATTTATTTTAAAAGTGGGTTCATTGAAGAACTGGCAGGCTGTCACAGAATTCTACATGTATGTATAAAAAACATGGCTTTTATGCTTATCTTATTTTTAATGAATTAGGAGCCATCTCCATATCAGGAGTTTGTCTTATCAGTCCCTGCTATAGAGAGGTTACTGAGGACATAGGACACAGGAAGAAAATGATTGTTTGACTAATAGAGTGAGACTTTGTCAGTTCCGCTTGTTCGTGAACAGGATAGACTTGTAAAATGCCAGTGAGCTCCCTCGTTTATGTTGTGCCTACTTGGAAACCCTAAGACCTGTGCAAGTGTTAACATGGGACCATGAATGTCCTAGTTGCTGTCTTGCTTAAACTCACACTTTGTGTCTTTTCTTTGCTCCAGATCCATTTCTACCCTCCCCCTCGGGATGGTTGAATCCAAGAGTTCCAACTCCTACCCGTACATCTTTCTTTACATCTGGCATCCCAGATTCTCACAGACACCACAACCATCACCAGATAATTATACACATCATCTGTGTGTCAGAAGAGCTTATCATGGTTTTGTTGTTGTTGTTGTTTGTTTTTTGTTAATTGTGTGAAAATATTCACTTTCGTCTTTTCCGACTTGTGGGTTTGGTAACAGGTGTGCTGGCTGTTTGCAAAGTTATGCTTCTTGTGCCTCAGTGCTCTGCAGTATTTGAAATAGATAACTCACCTGGAATCAGGTTATATTTACCTTCCTTCAAATAATTCAGTCCTTAGTCTTGCAGGCTCAGGCAGAGGAAAAATCCATGTGACTAGCATTGTGCCTGTCCTCACTACTGCCTGTGTTCTCTGCACAAGACTGCTTCCTTGAATGAGATACAACTGAGGGTTGCCTGCGTGACTGCGTTTTGACAGTGGTGACATTCCGTTTATCCCTTAGAGAACCCTTTCTGCAGGCAAACCACGCGCTGTTTTCCTCAGGGATAGACATAGTAAAGGGGAAGGGTGGTAGTAATTCCCTAAGTATACGTTAGTCTTACAGAATTTACTAAATTTCTGACAAAATGTTTATTACGCAGTGTGTCACCTATCTGAAGACCACAGGAAGCTTCCGCAGCGTGTGGGAAATAACCACAGCTCCAGCAACGGCTTATCAAGGGTAATGATGGGCCCCCTCATCCTTCCCCATGGTGATCATCATCTTACATCTGGCCCTGAGTGAGCTGGAGTGAAGGCTTTTCACGCATGTAACTCTGCAGCCTTGATACAACTTTCTATCTTAAGTCGTGAGGCTAGCGTTCTTTACAATGACTTCAAGCTCTGTTTGTACATTTTTCAAGAACAAAACAATTAAAAATCTTTCCTTGAATCAGTCCTTTCATCCATCATCTATGACCCATTGTTTTGCAAACACTCCAGTGCTTAGATACTTCGGGATTAAAAACTGAGGTGTTCGTTTGGAGAGACTTTGAAAAGGAAATGCTGTGTGGAGTTCATGCTCAAATAAATCGCTAGTAGAAGATCCTGGCATAAGTTGAAGTCAGGCAGATGTAAGAATCAAAGTCAACTCTGATCCTGTTTCTGCAAATTTCCTTATGAAATTTCTTAGGTCCTGTTTCATCAGTAGCACATGGGGGAGAGGAACACAACAGGCCCAGTGAGTTTATGTAGCAAAACTAGAAATTATGCATGGAATATTCCTTGCTTCATTTCTCCATAAGAATGATGCAAATAGCCCAGGTCATAGGCCCTCCCCCAAATGATGTGACAGTCTTTGGTTATCCACTTGTGGAAGGACTCACTATCCTTGGGGAGTGGGTGGGGTAGGGTTGGGGGGTTGGGGAAGTCATGGGAGGATGGGATGGTAAGGGATGGAGGGATTGATATGTAAAATAAGATTGTTTCTAAAATTTAATAAAAAGGTAAAAAAGAAAAATAGCTCAAAATACAGCAAAATTTCATTGAAAAAATTTATTCATAATAGCTCTATTAAAAAAGGAAGTACTGTGTGTCTCATGAAAAAATGTACTAAGAAATCACTTGAAATATAAGAATTATTGCTGTGTCAGCTGAAAAAACAACAAACAAACTATTGAAGAATTTTACAGCCTGCCTGTGTACCCAAACAGACCCTGACAAGAACCCATCTCCACATGGTTTTGGGAGTGTCATCCATAGTTTCCAGTAGCTTTCACTGAGGTTAACTATGTGACGATGTAACATCATCACAGTTGATCTAAAATCGACATGACCGTGTTACTCCTCCCTTGTTATTGTGATGTAGGTGAGTTTGTGTAAGGTCGGCAGTCTCTGAAGCTCAGGCCTAGGACCCTGAGCCACCACTAAATTCCACACTTGGGCTTCTGCATCTATAACCCCACCAGCTTTGATGACAGTTCGTACACAAAATGACAGAGCCTGGCATATTGATCGATTGATTGATTGATTGATTGATTGATTTTACAGCTTGACTGAAGCATCCCTTCCCCGCTCCTTCCCTCTGCCCTTCCATCCACCAGTCCTCATTAATTGCTCAGAATGGAGCAGCCCTCCTTTGGGTAGCAGCAAGGCACGGCATATCAAGTTGCCATAAGACCAGGCACCTCCTCCTGTATTCAGGCTGGATAAGGCGATCCAGCATAAGGAACAGGTTCCCAAGAGCCAGTCAAAGCACTGGGGGCAGTGTAGTGTACATGACTGGGTTGTTAGTTTGTAGTTTTTTTTTGTTTTGTTTTGTTTAATTTTTTTATTTAAGTTACAAACAAGCTTGCTTCACATGTCAGTCCCAGCTCCCTCTCCCTCTCCTCCTCCCCCATCCCCCACCCAATCCCCACTCTGCTTCCTGTGTTCTGTCCACACACATTTGTCTCAGCTGGGTTTCTTGCCTTCCTATGACAAAGAGTAGGATAATATTTTAAATATTTCTCATCAAGAAATAAGAAAATAAAAAAATAAGAAGAATCTGAGAAATGAAGAAATTTCAAATCTCTTTGGACTTCAGGCAATAATTCCTTTTATGGGTACCTTATGTTTCTTTAAACTATCCTTTGGTAAGATTACTGGTGTAGGTAAGTAGGTTTGATACAAATAATTTAAAAAATAATTTTTGGGGAAAATTTTGCCTCTGAAATTTGCTTTTCTTGAGTAAACCTGTGCTGGGGAGATGGGAAGTTACCATGAAGTCAGATATTGGTCTTCAATGATGTGTATATTAGGATCTGTGTCAGGGCCTCATGCAGGCTAAGCACACATTCTGCTAGACCAATGGGGGCTTTTTGTTTTTATTGAAGGGAATTGCAGAAGTTGGTCTTAAAACTTACATAAGGGAGAAAAAAAGACAGTCAACTTGAATAGAAACAAAGATGGACAAGACTAAGTATGACCTTGAAATTTTTCTTTTTCTCCATAACTCTGACTGGGAGTTCAAGTGAACAGAGGATGCAAAATTACCCTTATATTTTTCAGCCCATTTCCTTTAAGGGGAGAAATGATTCTGCTGATGGATTAGTAAGCAAAACTCATCCACACGTCTTACCAAAAAGAAAAGTATCCATAAAATCTGAGGGTACGTGAAGCACCATGGGAAGGACTGAGGAGCAAAGACATAGGCCCAAGGAGAGAGAAAAAGGAGAGAGAAAAAGCTCAGACGTGAAAGGAACGGACTGACATTCCTTTTCTTTCCAAAGTAACCCGGGCTTTTCACATGGCCGCCGGGCTGTGTTCAGGTAAACTACCCAGTGAGCACAGAATTAATAGTTCCTGGCCACTTGTTTGCTGGTTTCCGATAGTAGTCATTTTATTTTATTTTACAGATGTATTTGTTGAATGGGAGTGTGCCTGCCTGTTTGTATGTGATCCATGTGCATGCGGGTGCTCGAGGGGTCCAGAGGGCCCCACTGGCTCCCTTGGAACTGCAGTTACAGGGAGATGTGAGCTTCTCAGCCTGGGTGCTAAGACCTGAACCTAAACCTCAGCAAGAGCAGCAAGCATTCTGCATGCTATGCTCCAGCCCCAGTAATGTGATCTAAAGTTCTCTGTTTAGAGGAGATGGAAGTGGAGGGGTCGTTTACAATATTTCCATGCTGGGGACATCAGATTATGACGTCAAAACTACAGCCAGCACAATCATCACAGAAACAGATGAGCTCATTTTGGTGTGCTTTATTTTCCTATGAGTTTCCAACACATTACGAGTTTTGTAATGGCAGAATTCCTGAATCTGTCCTTGGCATGCATCTTCAATATTTGAGTAAAATTACTGTGGAATTTGTTTTGTTTTCAATTAGCAATAATCATGCCTCGGATAAACCTCCTTGGCTACGATACTGCCACTGCACAAAACTATTATTGTGGAATTTGATCATAGCCAAATTTCCTGAGAGCCAAATTAGTCCCTTTGTTGAACATTTTACACCCAGCTAACCTAAATAAAGATTCTTATTTGCTATAGACCATCTAACAGAAAAGGACTGACTGATATACTACAGGTGAAACACAGTTCATGATCAGTAAAGAGAAACTAATTATACTGCTTTTATTAAGTATTGCTCTCATTTACATTTTTTCAAGAATATAGCTCCTATAAATAACAGCTAATGGTCTATATTGAGTTCTATTTATTTTTCACATAAAGTTTTAATATTGCAAGAATAAAAATCGCAGAGCATTTGCTAAACATATTTATCAACCTGACCAATGATGAAATGCATGCAGAATGATAATCTAGCTACATTGTATTTCTTTTTTTATAACATTGTATTTCTTTTATACAGACAGAAGAATTCTTAAAATTCCATGGTTTTAGATCTTAAGTGTCCAGACCATTGGCAGCGTTAGTTCACTTTCTTTCAGTTCTTGAGCAAAGACACTAACACTTTTTCAAGTGTCTTTTCTCATGCTCTGGGTACAACCTGAAATAAGGACAGATATGTGTGCATATTTAAACAGACTTGCTGGCTGTCAATGACCCAGCTTGTACTCTGTCATTGCATGAGTTGGGGGAGCTAACGCCTGGAGATGGTGGTCTACTTGGCTAAAACTCAACTGCGGAGCAATTTGGCTGACTGAAGTCCTGCTGATGGGGGACATCCTTCTGCATATATGGTTCTCTTATTGGTTGATGAATAAAACAGTTTGGCCAATAGAGGCAGGAAGATAGGCGGGACTTGGGGACTAGAGAATTCTGGGAAAGGGATGTCACGGAGTGACCAGGAGGAATAGGACACTCCAGGCATTCTCTGGTAAGCCAAGACCATGTGGAAATACATAGATCAACAGAAATGGGTTAAAAATTAAGACAGGGATAGCCGATAAGAATTCCTAGCCATCGACCAGCAGTTCTATAATCAACATATGTCTCTGTATGCTTATTTGGGACTGAAAAGGGCAGCAGGACCAGGAGGGAAAACGAAATCCAACAACAGCCAGCATCCAGCAGCTCATGTCCTGAAGGAGGTAAGGGACTTGAAGTACTGTCTCAGTTTGCTGATCAGCATCTCTCTGAAGTGGTCTCCCATGAGAAAGTAGAAGAGGGGGTTGACGGCGCTGTTCAGGAAGGCCAGAGGCCGGGTGACAATGTACAAGGTTTTGATGACCTCCTGCGAGCATCCCTGTGGCCAGCTGTCCAGGCGCGAGGCGATCCTCACATTGCGCATGACGTGGTAGGGCGTGAAGAGCACAGAGAAGATCGCCACCACCAGGATCACCAAGCGCAGCGGCTTGTCCAGCGGCAGGGCGGTCACCTGCTGCCTGCTCCTCCTCTTCAGGAAGACCACCATCTTGTAATAGAAGAAGCACATCACAAAGAGGGGAACGAGGAAGCCCAGCAAAGTCAGGCACAGACTGTAAATGAGATTGTATTTGGGGTTCCCAGAGCTTGCGTAGTCTTTGCAGACGGTGTCTTTGCCTGACTGGTCAGCATTTATGAAAGGGAAGATGGGTAGGACCTCCAAGGTGACCAAGACCCAGACAGCTAAGGAGATCAGTGCGGCAAACTCCTTCTTCTGCAGAACGTGTTCTCGGAAAGGGTACTTCATGAGCAGGTACCTGTCGATGCTGATGAAAGTGAGGAAGAGGATGCTGGTGTAGAGGTTGGCATGGAGCACGTATCGGTTGAAAATGCAGAGAACGTCTCCGTACATCCAGCTCTCGTTGGCATAGCTCCTTATCAGCATGGGGAGGGTGCACAGGAAAGCAAAGTCAGAGATGGAAAGGTTAAAGAGATACACGTTGCTGCTGTTCCAGCTCTTCAGGCAGAAGAGGTAGCCGAACACCACCGTGACGTTCCCAAGCATCCCCAAAACGAACTCAATCCCATAGAACGTGGAGAGGTAGTACTTTTTCAAGATATTCTCTGCTGCCAGCCAGTTTTGACACGATGAATTCTGTGACTAAAGCAGAAAGGAAATAAAAGATCACACACTAGGCTGTGGCCAAGGGCAAATGGTGAAGAATGCACATATTAGTCATGTGTGACGGGGTATACCTTTAGTACTAGAGCTGGCGGGGGGGGGCAGGAGGCTAGCAGATGTCTGTGAGTTCCAGGACCACATAGTCTACATAGTTTCAGACAAGCTACGCTATGTAGGGAGACCACCCCATCTCAAAATAAAAAAAGCACACGTTCATACACATTAGTGTGTTGTATGCAAACTCACACATTATATGTGCACCTGACTGTGTTATTTCAACAAGGCTGCATTGACCATCTTCAAGCTGCATCCTCGTCGCTGGGTAGCCATGAATAAAGCAGAGCGGCTAATGTGAGGCAATGGATGGTTTCTTGAGAAGAAGCCGGAAAAATATACAGGATACGGTATTAAAGATATGAATAAAAGCAAGTAATAATTAAAATGTCAGAAGAAAACTATCTCCTGCAGTTTGTTCCTGACCTCCACACCTGTACAGGCTCATGTACACATGTGCACGCTCATTCAGAATTGTGTGTATGCACACACATGTAAATAAGTAAATAAATAAAAATACTAAGTATAATGAAAGTGAAAGTAAGTTTGGGGATGGAGTGAAGCTCGCCTTCTGGGAATAAGAACCAGATCTCTCTACTTGATGAGGAGTTGCTTCCAAACACAGGAAGACCACGTGACAGAGCTAAGCACAGAAACAAAAAGAGGGATTAATAAAAATAAAATGTGATCACACAAGCAGTGAGCAGAAGCTAACTCACCTTTGTATCTTCAGGGCCAGACATAGATCCCCACAAATTCTGCTGTCAAACTGAACTGAACTCTAACCCATGGAAGGAAGTCTGGATACAGTTGTCTTTTTGAAAATAGCTTTTAGCTGGTTGAGTATAGTAAAGAATTTTTCTTATTTTATTAAACTGAGAACATATTACCCACTCCATTTTAAAATAGAATGTCTTAAGATTCAAAAGAAGATGCCAAGAAACCGTAGAGATAGCAATGCTGGTCACCATGTGTTGCGAGCTAATGGTGTAATCAGGCATTATGCTCACCACTTTCTGAGGACTGCTTCGTTTAATATGAATAAAAATATGAAGTAGGGACTGGTTGCAGAATTATTTGAGAAATGATTTCACCGGAGTATAGAAACTTCGGTTTTGTGCTGTTTTTGTCAGTACCTGTGCCTGTAGCAATGTATCTTATAGTGGACAATGCAGAAATAACAGAGCTGTTTGACTTCCTTACACAGTCAGGAAAGTACAAGATGAAAGTATTAGCAGACTCGGTATCTAGTGACAAGTCATGCCATTCTCCTGGCAATCACAGGGCAGGGCAGCTCCCTTTGTCCCGTCACAAGGACACTATCTGAATCATGAGGGCCATGGCCTTTATTTTCATGGAAGCCCCGTCATTCCATACAGTTAGGTCCCCGGCACATGAATTTTGAGAGCACAGCATTCAGACAACTTAGTCCTTGCTGAGGTCACATGCCCAACTTTCCTAGTTTCATTTCTATTGCTGGAATAAAATGCTCTGACAAAACGTTACTTAGGGCCAGTTTATTGTAGCTCACAGTTCCGGTTTCCAGTCCATCATAGAGTGGATGCTAGCTTCATCACATCCACAGTCATGAGAGGAGCAAGATGAACCCGTGCGTGCCTGTTTTCTTGCTTTCTTGTACTCAGCTGGATTTCTCCACATTTTTTACAGCGCAGGGATTCGCCTAGGAAATGGTACTGACCAACCGTGGGTTGAATATGCAATATCACTTAATTAAGATGGTCTCCCACAAACACACCCATGGACCAGCTCAATGTAGACAGTCTCTCATTCAGAGTCTACATCCCAGTAATTCTAGGTCATGTCACATCGACCTTTGAAACTAACCACCATGCCAACTAATAAAACATTGTAGTAAGACCCTCCAAATACTAATTCAAACTTCTGATAACTTGTCATCATTCTTTGGCAGTAAGGCTACTTTGTAGTCAGAATATTTCAAGGACTTGAGTAACCTGAAAATATGTTGAATTTTTAAAATGATAGACCCTAATTATTTATAATACAAGGAAGAAGGTTGAAAACAAACTTTCATAATTTTTTCCTGTTAAACATGGCTGAGAGTATTAGTTACAGTCAAATAATCATTTCATTATAAGTACAATCTATTTTCATATGAAGCTTTTAGACAGTAAATTTTTCTATGAGGAAGATATGTAGTAAATGTATCTATTTTGGTCAAATTCAGATGTTATTGAAGTTGGTTTCTGGCATCTTGGTAGCGTTTTATTTACGAGCGTACATCATAAATTTGCAGATAATTTCAGTATTTTACCGTTACTTTTGTGAGGTGTGTGCTCATATGTGTTTGTACCAGTGCATCTGTGTTCACATATGTGTTTGTATATACGGTGGCCAGAGGTTGGCGTGTGTTTCCTAACTCACTACTTGATTCTCCCAGACAGTCTTTCTCTCTGAACCGTGAATTCACCAATCGGCTAGAGCAATTTGCTGAGAAAGCCTCAGGGAGCCTCTGGTCTCTGCCTCTCCAGCCTTGGGATGTCCCATGCCCCACCCGTCGTTTTAACATGGGCACTGGGTATCCACCGCCAGCCTCGTGCTGACACGACCCTGTCTGAGCCAGTTCCCATAGACTCTGCTGGAGGACCAAGCTGTGTGTTTTCCCTGTCAGTCCCTCTGTAGAGAATGGCGGGGTGTGCTGCGCTTCTCGATTTCATATTTCTTTCCGCTTTCGGACGCCTTTCCAGCTACTCCAGCCCGCTCACCACAGACAGTTGTCCTTGCCCCATAGCTCACCAGGATGGAGATTCTTCAACGGCTCACTCTGGAACCACCCATTCTCAGATCCATCTGCTCTTTAGATCACTCCTCTCAACACCCTTTCTGACTTCTTCCTTATACCAAGGACTTGCCCTTGGCACATCCTTGGTGTTCCAGTTTTGTTTCTAGATTCGTCCATCTCTACCTTGTCAACCAGCACTTAAACACCTTTGTCTATCACTCTTAAAAGTTTGTTCCAGGTTTAAAGGCTTTCCCCTGCAGCCCAGGTTGCCCTCCTCTTCAGGCTTGTTTTCTGGAGAAATGTCTCACCAAATGCTTTCACGTCTGGACCCACTTTCTGTCTAGCACTCCCTAATCTGGTTTGTGACCCCAAATTCTTCAAACAGCCACCACATTTCCCAATCCAGTGGTCAGTTTCACCAGTTGATTTGTTAGCCTGCAGTAAATTGTTAGGGACATGCCCTTTGTTTCCTTTCGGGACAAGTCAGAATCCCGGCTTTCTTTTCCTCTCCGTGGATGCTCGAGAGACGTTGATGTCCTATCTCAGTTCCCTTTTCCCTCCTCTGTATTCATCTTGAGTGATGTTACCCATGTTCAAGCTTTAATGACTATTTATGTGCAAACAGCTCCTACATTTGTAATCTGTCTCGGATCTGTATGATGAATGCCAATAGTTTATTGTATTGCTGTGGATTGATTTCTTACAGGCACCTTTGACTTTAGGCATCCTAATTTGTTAGCTAATCTTGAGCCACCTTTGCCAGTAAAATGATTTTCCATTTATCCAAATGCCTACCGCAGAAGTCTTGACAGTCAGCTGCAGTTAAACTTCCATCAAGAACAAACTACCAAGCTTTGCAGACTTTAATTTTTATGTATTTCTCAAATCTGTCAGTTCCTCGCTATATATATATATATATATATATATATATATATCAGCAGGAGGATATGATACATTATATACACATATATATTTCCATCAGTCCACAAAGGGAATACGTTACATGTATCATATTCTCCTGCTGTGTCCTCACACTTTTTTTTTTGACTCTTGTTCATTTTACCTTTTCCTGACAAATTTACAGCTCAACATAAAATCATGCTGCTATCCTATGTTAAGATCCTTCCAAGGACTAAAGTCCACGTTCTCAATGTTCACACCCCACCCCCTGCTCCCCTGCCCCCCTGCTCCCCTGCCCCCCTGCTCCCCTGCTCCCCTGCCCCCTGCTCCCTGCTCCCCTGCACCCCTGCACCCCTGCTCCCCTGCTCCCCTGCACCCCTGCCCCCCTGCTCCCCTGCTCCCCTGCACCCCTGCACCCCTGCTCCCCACTTCAGCCTGCTCGCCCTGCTCCCCTTTACCCCTGTCCCCCTGCTCCCCTGCCCTCCTGCTCCCCTGCACCCCTGCTCTCCTGCACCCCTGCCCCTATGCCCCTCTGCTCCTCTGCTCCCCTGCTCCCCTACACCCCTGCACCCCTGCACTCCTGCACCCCTGTCCTCCTGTTCCCCTGTACCCCTGCTCCCCTGCACCCCTGCTCCCCACTTCAGCCTGCTCGCCCTGCTCCCCTGCACCCCTGCACCCCTGCTCCCCACTTCAGCCTGCTCGCCCTGCTCCAGCTCCTCTCTCCTTCTGTGCTCCAACTGCACAGGGCGGTCCCACTGTGCTAGGGCATCTGCATCTCTTCTGCGGCTCTTCCTCTCACGCCCACACAGTGTGTCTACTGTCTGTATTTCTTTCAGGCCCCAGTACAAAGATGGTTTCCCTAATTGGCTGCCTGTTCACCAAATCCAAATAAGCCAGGTGCCCCCAGTGCGTGCCGTCCATATGCATTAAATTCTGACTTACGCATTCTTACAACGTTGTTTTGTTCATTGTTAAATCCTTTGCGTCTGCACAGTGGCTAACAGTTAGCATGTGGTCTGGAATCGCATGCTGAATAGAGAGGGCCAGAAACCTGACTGTTTATAAAGCAGTTTCAGATACACTTCCTCCTTGGCTAGAGAAGTATATAAATCCACAAAATAAGACTTACCTACTTAGGCTGTGCATAATAGGATACACACACACCACACACACACGCACACACACCACACACAAACCACACACACCAGTCACTATGGTATTGAGACCTCTGATTTATAAACAGATTTGTCTAAAGCAAACTTTAATATGTAGCTTCTAGAATTGGTTTAAGGATTTAAGAATTAGAGTTCAATCTGAAATTGTTAAACACACAGAAGTCTATAAAGATATATATACCAAAATGCTTCCAGCCTTAACAGTAAGGCTTCTATTGTGTCGTTTCTCCTTTGGTTTATTTTTACATTCTGTCTGTCTGTCTATGCTTATTTAGCTTCTTAAAGTAAACCAATAGATGCATGTAATTAATAACATAAAACTTTTAAATTGCAAAATATTAAAAAAAGCAGACCCTGTACATCAGTCCATTCTGATGAAGAAGGCCCTCTTCCCCAGCTGGAGACTGCTGCAGACATCCACAATGGGCAGGGTTGGGGTGGTCCAGTCCCAGTTAGTACATTTAAAGCTAAGATTCAAAGAACATTGTGGAATAGGGGCAGACTGACTTAAAAGACAGAGGAACAGGTGCCTGCTGTGAAATAGTGTCTTCTAGGCATGGTAGGGAAGTTGCACCCAGAAAATCTCAACAAGGTGGCCACATAAACAGGACTTACATAATGACAACACCTGTTGACATGCCGCTATGAATGGGAGAGATTGAAGTGAAGAGGAAGCCACCCTTAGAGGAGGGGCCAGTGACAATCTACAGCTGTTGAGAGAGGGGAACATTACTTTTCTCTAGGGATGAACCCCCTGATGTTATTGAATTCCCAGTGATCACCTCTACGTGTGTGTATGTACACACACCACTAGATGGACTTAATGGTGGGTTGTATATACATTTGCATCATCTATGGATCTATGTATGTGCATATCTACTAAATATGTGTCTCTCTGTGTATGCATGCCTATCTGTAACTAAAAATTACAGAAGGATTTGCGGAATGGAAGAACACAGCAGACGTTGGAAGGGGGTGAGACAGAGGAGGAAATGATGTAAATGTAATATTTATGTGTGAAATTATCAAAAATTGAAAAAGTAGAGTTAAAAAAAGGAGGGATACACGGACTTTTAAAAAGCTAACATGCGTGGGTCATTAGACAATGGACATTTCTCACTGTTATACTCAAATCCGCGGCACCTTTCAATGCCATGGATCTGGAAGCCTTTTCCTCCTTGCCTTCTAGAACAGTGCAGTCTCTTTCCCCCTTTTGACTATTTGCTAGCTCTTTGGGTAACTAATCCTTGTTTGTCTAGGCTTTAATGTTAGAGCTCTTCAAGACTCATTCTGTGATCTTACATCACGTAGGAAACACTGAAGGGGTGGGTACACACGTTAAATGAAAATTAAGACAATAAAAAGTTTTCTGGAGATTAGAACCTCATTTGCTTCATTTTGAATTTCCTCTTCCTCTTTCTGATTATACCGGATCCCATTTAAGCTGAGGAAATGCCATGGGTTTATGCAATTTATATGGATCACAAGATGGAATGGAAAAATGTATCCACAAAGACATGTCAGGGGCCACGTGGAAGCGATGGAGGATTCTGTTTTCCAGTGACCCAGAGAGCCTGAAGGCTGAAGGTTTAGTAAAAACAGAGACCACCAGGGCCAGTTACAGAAAACAAATGGCTTTAAATGGATTGATTACTTTTAGTTATTAATCCGTACCTTTGTATTGCTTCTCATAGAAGTAAATCTTGCTTTAGGAACAAACCACCACCACCACAAAAAAAAAATCTTTACAAGTGTCAATTTTCAGGTGGTCTCTGTGGTTTTGGACAAAACGACTGGCCTGCTCTCCCCTGGTAAGACTATTGCTCCCACTCTGGGCTTCCCTTCCTTGACTGGAGTTCTTCCTTAGGGCTGAGACCTCCTGGGCTCCCACCACCCACTTCCACACGGCTGTTGTTGCCTCTGTTCAGCTTGGCTTTGGCAGTCATTTGGTGAGGCTCTGTGGGTGCAGCGTCTGCCATTACTGGGAGACACAGCCCTACCAGAAGCTTCCTGAGATACATCCCACAGTCTTCCTGTCTGCCTCTTCCACAACGTCCTCTGAAGCCGTTGAATAAATTATGGTATACAGACTGAACAGGTGGTATTTTGGTATATTCATGCTCATACATGCATTTAACAACAATTAATGGATAAAGAGGCCATGAATCCGAAAGAGAGTAAGGGAGAGTGTACAGGAGGGTACAGAGGGAGGAAAAGGGGAGGGGAAAATCATGTGATTAATATAATCTAAAGTACAGGAAATAATTAAAAACAAAAAGTCTGTGGATAAAGTACATATTAACTGTGTAATACAGTGTGGAATCAAATAGCAAAAAAACAAAAAGGAAAAAATTTAAACCAATCAGTCCTAATATTTTTATACTTTAATGTTACTGAAACTTTGTTAAAATGTGATTCTGCTTTTGACGATATCTCATAATCTATTACTTTAATATAATTGTCTCAATTTGTTTCATTTTTACGGCTATTTTCACATTCATAATATTAACAGGCCATGGTTTTCTAGAGACAGGCTGCCTGTTACTTGTAGACTGATTCAACTTCACAAAGACACACTACTTTAAGAATGTTGTACTCCAAATCCAGCGATGTGTGTGTGTTCTTGCTGTGACATAATTATACACATCAGGGAAGTAAGGGGTGTTCATTTAAGCAAAACTCTCAATAGAAGGGGGCATTTCCCCTGGCACATTACTAGCCTCCCTCCTGCTTCCCAGGAGCCTTCCTGTCTATAGGCAATGGATACGTTGACTAACAGGCTTTTACTTATCTGAGTGAACCATTCACAGTGTGCTTTCTTTAAAACCTGCATTGCTGACTAAAGTGAAACCATTAGCTCCTAGCCCACAAACACCGAGTCTGTTGGATTTAAGAAGCTGAATGCACATGCATGAGAAAAACTGCTAGGGATCATTCTTAATTTGAAATGGTGGGAAACTCGTTATAAAATCAGCTCTTCTAAATGTAAAAATAATGTATGTTCTTTACCAGAGGTCTAGAAAATCGATGCTAATAAAAAATCCCCTTTATTCTAATAAAAATGTCTTTCTATACCCTTAGCTATGACAGAGAACCTAGCAGAAGTTAACATTGTAGCTGGCACTGGAAAGTTACACAGTAACGAAGGTATTTCAGCAAGTTGCTTTCACACGGAGCAATTTAACTGAAACAGTTTTCGCAGTATATAAAAATGCAAGCATTTGGTGCTCATCAATTACTTTCTATTTCCATATTTCACAAATGACACCAATACATTAAAAATTACAGTATTTGTCAAGCTATATTTTTCACTAGAGTGTTAGAGAATAGCTCATACAGCTTGGAAAGTTCTGGTGAGTAAATAGCAGTTGCTTCTGCAATTTGCCCCTTTCCTTAGTAAACCCTTTTCTTAAATATATCCATCTTGCTGTACGTAAATGCAAAATGTAAAGTTTACAATGACTGAAAATTCATCCTATTAGATTTTTCTTTAAAATTTACATGCTAGGTTATTTTCCAGGATGTGAGGCAGTTCCCCTTTTCTGTAAATACTTTTATTTATTCAAATCATCCCAATTACAGTAGACCTTTTAAAGTAAAATAAATTTAGTATTTAGCCATTAAATCAGTACATTTAGAGCCATAGAGAGCAGAGGTGAGAGTCAGAAGTGACAGCCTTTTCCCTTTGCTGCCTCATATCTACTTAAGAACAGCTCCCCGAGCACCGGTTAACTCACAGGCCACTTTGAAAAGAAACCCTCACCAGAAAGCCTGGCGTTCCTAAATATGTTCAGGAAGTATGGGCTGTAGCATCCCTTACCATTCTGCTGGAGGCCTCTCTCTTAACAGAAACTCTGCCAGTTGCTGTAGACAGCTTCTGGACCCACTGGTGTGTCGCTGGACATGGCCAGGGCCGTCTGATTTGCATATCATGCAGCCAAGATTAATAATTCAAGAGGCAGGGATAATTTATTCAGATAACCCTCCAAGTCGAGCCGAGGAACTCTCAAAGAGTGAAAACACATAACAGATGACTCATTTTGCAGGAAGCACTTTCAACCAAGATGTTTTGAGAACACTCTAGCCGAAATTATTGTATTCACTCCCCGAACAACAGAGAAGCATTCTTTCTCTCCACATGCATACACACCTTTAGATATCAAGGACTGGCAAACTCTTTATGTTTACTATGTAGTCAAATTCACCTTTTCCCTTGTTTTTCACGTTTTTTGGTCACTTCTTCTGTGTTAAGCACACAATAACTTAAACCTCTTCGCAGAAATCCTGAGGGAACTGTAAAGTTTTTCCCTGGAAACTCTGGTCTCAGCATGCAGCCTGTCAGCGTACTCTTGAAAGGCTTTTAGAACTTTAGATGGCATCCTTATTGTCTGTGATTAAGTTCAGGGGACATAAAGAAATACATCCTATGGCTGGGGATGGAGGAGAGAGGCACTATCTAGGACGATAATCCTAAGGGATGGCAGTGGCCACATCCCATTCGGAGCCCCGAATAGCACCCAGAAGAACTGACCAACCATTTCAGAGAGGAAACACACCTGGCCTTCCCTCAGGCTCCACCAGTTTTTATATTCAAGTAAACACCCGGATTGCTTGACCTGAATCATAGGGATTACACTGAGGATGTCACTAAAGTCGGAGGAACAATCACGGTCGTTCGCTACTTAACACAGGGAAAAGGCTAGAGATTTCATTCGGGTACAGTTTCCAGAAGGAGAATGCCCTGGAGTGGCCAGTCAGGCTGGTGCATTTTAGACACCTCTTCTCATCTGTGGACACCTCCAAGCTAGCAAGGCACAAGAGAGCATTTCCTAGGTTTTCACCACCACTACGAGGGGGCAAGGGGATTCTCTCTTTGTGGGTGCCTGCGGTTCCCCAGGGCTTCCTGTTTCTTTGCCCTCCTTCCTGATAGCCAAAAAAATATAGTGGCCTGGAGACTTCTCTTTTTTTCCCCCCCCGTAGGGGACTGCAACCTGATAGCTTTGCTGTGCCCAATGCCTCAGGATCCCTCCCTCCACTGACAACCGGGCAGACATAATAAACAGACTGGGCTCTGCTGTTCCTACCATGCTGCCTTGCTCCGTGGTAGAGGGCACAGCTCAGCCCTGTTGACCAATACAGTGTGCGATACTTGCTTGCTAAAGATTAATTGTCACAGAAAGTTTCAGTAAACCAAACTCCCTTCTAATGGTGACTTTGATTTAATGCTGTAGGTTTTGGCACAGGCATGCTGATTTTAAATGCCCTTATGAGAACCAGCAATGGGAAAGAGATCACTGAGTCCTTGTCCCGAGTTTGCGTTTTTTTACTGACTGTGTGATCTGTGAAAGACGCTTGCCTAAGCTGATTTCCTTGTTCAGAAGCAGCCGGTAACTCTGTTCCAAAAAGCTGCTATTGTTCACAGTAAAAAGTAAAATAAGGCTCAGAAGTCCCAAAAGCTGGGCATGCAAGAGAAGTCAAGTTCACTCAGCAGGAAAATCGAGGGAGAAAAATCCAGAGAGAAGAGAGAAACAAAATGCCTGTTCAATCCAATACACTGATTTCTCAATGTCTCTACTGTGGTCTGTGGGGCATTTTATCCATGTACCAATTCCTTTATAGGCCCAGGAATGTGTTACAGAGCAAACTATGAATGTCCAAGTTTTCATCTTAAGAAACTGTGGCCCAACGAAACATTGTCCATCTCACACAACTGATGAAGAACCTGACCAGAACTTCAGGTCTTGTCTTTTTCTCTCCAAGCTGAGCATTTGGCTTTATTCTGGATCTCGTACAAGAACCTGCTAAGTCAAAATGCAAGATTAGTGGTATTAAATATTTTTAGCATAAATATGATAAGTTTATGTGATGTCTCTCTAACGAAGCAAAATTTGAATAGCATTAAAGTTAGCAATTGTGTACAAGATTTACTATTTATCCAATTTAGTAATTAGATTTTCCATCTAAAAACCAGAACATTTTACATAAACAAGAGGCAAAGATAAAACGCTGAAGTGGTTATGTGAAGGTCTTATTAGCAATGCCTCTGGGTATGCTTACAAGATAAATTCACTCCTTACAAAAATAGTCTGGATGGAAAAGCAACTGGCCTGAGGATGACACACATTTTCACTGGATAAGAGGCCAGGAAAGATGAGGGCAGTTATTCATGCCAAGAAATCTTTCATCCTAAATCCTTAAGGGGAAATATTCATGACAACCCCAAAGGGTTGAATAAAGCTAAGAATACAAAGAATGCCTTCTAACAGTGGTGTTGCAGAGATCAGAACAAAGGGAATACAGGAGAGGGTGGTATGGGTAGTATGGGTGGCGTCTATACTCTTCCAGTTTCTTGACATCAAACCTGCTCTATCTAGCTGAATTCACTTTACCATGAAACACAGCCTACTCACAACTCAGTCTTCCCTAAATGAAAAGCAGATTAAAAACTTGCCATTTGAGAGTTAGATTAGCTGGACATGGTGGTATACATCTTCAATCCTAGCATTCAGGAGGTAGAGACAGGAGGATCTCTATGAGCTCAAGGCTGCTTTGGTCTATATACCAACCTCAAGGCCAGCCAAGAAGTTACATTCATAGTGCAATGTTCTATAGTTTTATCACTCACTTTATTTAAGTGTTTTAATAGAGTCTCTTATATCCCAGGTTCATCTACACTCCCTACGGATCAGGCCAAGACTATCCTTGTCTCGTTCCTCTGTGTCACAAGCACTGTAATTGTACGGGTGCAGTGCAAAGTCAGCGCCCCCCACTTCTCTCTGCACCATGGGAGTGATGAATATAAGGCCTCCTTTTGACTAAGTAAATCCTTTACCCCTCTGTACCAATGAGCCGTATCCCTCGCCGTACTTCTTTACTTTATTATTTTGCTTTGTTTTTGAAACAGGGCTTTGCTAAGTTGCGTAGGTAAGTCTTGAGTTTACAATCCCTCTGTTTCAACCTCCTAAGCAGCCAGGATATTGGCTTGTTATCACTGGGTCTCACTCAGATAATCCCTTTGTGTTTAATGAAAACATCTTATTTGCAAAAAAACAAAAGTTGTATCTAGTCGTAGTTGATTCTGAGTTGGCTGGGTATTGATGTTGAGAAACAGGAAGAACCCACATTTGACTTCCAGTTTAAATTCAGATTTCACCAGACAAGTGGTTGTTAGAGGTCCAAATAGCACCTTAACCCACCCAAATTCACACTTCACCAGACAAGTGGTTGTTAAAGGTCCGGGTAGCACCTTAATCCACCCAAATAACATTTTCTTGTTTCCCTGATGGAAATCAAGATCTGTGAAATCCAAACATTTGTTTAAGTGTAAAAGTAAATCACATGCTCAGAAAGACATCCAAGTGCTATATTGATTAAAGAGAGCTGCCCCTGGACCTTGAAAAGTTTCATTTGCTAAGTGACTGTTCAACTACTTTGTCTTATTCTACTTATTTTTATTATATTCTGCACATACTTGCTCAATTAATTTTTTTATTGGCATTAGGTTCCTGACTGAAGAAAAGAAGCAGAGTCTAGCAGAAACTCTCTTTTATCTCCAAATTTCTACTCTATTCTCACTGATATACTAATATTTTGTATCTGTCTCAAACTCCACCTCCCTTCAACAATTGATTCAAAGACATGCCTTCCCTGCTTACCTAAAGTCATGAGAAATAACTGTACGCACAGGCATCGGACCCAACCTCAAGAAGTTTCATGTTTTTTAAAGAATTTCACATATACTTGCAATGTATTATTTATTTATTTTTATTATTAATTCTTTTTCATTTTTAAGTTTAAATTTAGATTAGAAACATGGTTGGTTCACAAGTCAGTTCCAGGTCCTTCTCCCTTTCCCTCCCCTCCTCCTGTGCCCTCCCCCCAGCTCCCCCATTATCCCCTCATTTCCCCAGGGAGGGTGAGGCCCTCCATGGGGGTGTCCATAGTGTGTCATTTCATCCAGGGCAGGGCCTAGACCTCCCCCCAAGAGTTCAAGGTGAGAGTGCATCTCACATTGTTGGATGGGAGTCCAAAGTCCATGTGTATACTCAGGATGAGTACTGGTCTACTGTCCAAGGCTCAATAGATTACCTAGGCCTCCTCACTGACACCCCCATTCAGGGGGTCTTGATCAGTCCCATGTTGGATTCCCAGGCATCAGCCTGGGATTCAAGAGTTAACCCTTGCCAGGTCAGCTGTTTCTGGGGTTAAACCAGCCCAGTATTAACTCCTTTGGTCATCAGTCCTCCCTCTCTATTACTGGCTTTCTTGAGTTCAGCTCAGTGCTTAGCCGTGGGAGTCTGCCTCTTCTTCCATCAGCCACTGAATGAAGTTTCTGTTTCCCAGTCTCTCTGGCCATGGTATTGTAGGCTGGCACTCCCCAGATCTATGTCTAAAATCCATATATGAGAGAGTACATGCCATGTTTCTCTTTTTGTGACTGGGTTACCTCACTCAGGATGGTTTCTTCTAGTGTCATCCATTTGCCTGCGAATCTCATGATTCCATTACTTTTTTCTGCTGAATAGTACTCCACTGTGTAAATGTACCACATTTTCTCCATCTACTCTTCGGTTGAGGGGCATCTAGGTTGCTTCCAAGTTCTGGCTATTACAAATAATGCTGCTATGAACATAGTGGAACAGACATCCTTGTTGTATGATGGGCATCTTTTGGATATATGCCTAAGAGTGGAGTTGCTGGGTCTTGTGGTAGGTTTATTGCTATTTTTCGGAGGAATCTCCATACTGATTCCCAAAGTGGCTAAACCAGTTGTCACTCCCACCAGCAATGGAGGAGTGTTCCCCTTTCACCACATCCTCTCCAGCATAAATTGTCATTGGTGTTTTTGATTTTAGCCATTCTGACAGGAGTGAGATGGTATCTCAGAATTGTTTTGATTACTTGCAATGTATTATGATAGTATCTACTTCCATCCCCTCTCACCTCTCTCCATGGAACCTTCTCACGCCCATCCCTTTTCTATATCCCACTGAA